CAGCCGCAGCACGCCCTGCGCCCGCACCGCTGCGGACCGTCACACACGACACTGAAACGGCTGCCTCGCTGACAATCACACATAACTGATGTAAGTCGGTACAGTGTTACCTCCTCCGTGGACGGTCCTGAGGGCGCGGACCAGCTTGGCCCTCCGGTCTGCAGCTGTGCTCTCACACTCCACCATGTCCGATAGCTTGTTGCACATTGCTACTGCAAATGCACTAAAAACAGACAAAATCAGACTTTTAAATGTACGCTTCAAACATCCAAACAGCAATTACATTACAACTTAACAATTACAATATAAATATCTTATTGTTATGAAATCCCACATGTTTAAATGGTCAATTCATTATTTAACTGTGGCTCATCATACACATTGTTTGAATGTAACACAATAAATTTACTTAGAATGTGCAGCAAATCTGGTAGTTGCATAGATGGCAGCATCAACTTCCACATTGTCATGACTCTCCAAGCCCCGCCTGATGGCATGGTGCACATTCTGCCTCTCCGGTATGATGCCCGCCACCGCGCCCAGCGTGCGCAGCGCCAGTGCCCGCGCCACCGGGTCGTTTGAATGTAGTACACTGAATATTCTTCGCACAAATTCATCTACATTTAATATCTTGTCCAAGTGCTTTTCGCTTTGTTGACATACGCGCAGTACCCATAGCCTCAAAAAATTGTTACCCATACGAAACACATCGGCTAACTTTAAGAACGAGGAGTTGATAAGTATAGGAAATGGATATTTCTCAAATAAACGAGGAAACCTGACAATAGCTTCACATTGCTCTCCAACCTTTCCTGATCTCAGACCTGAAATATATATATATTTTTAAACAGATAGTCAACACAATATTGTTTGTTCCCTGTAGGTTATGTTCAACACCAATAACAAACCTTTATCCAATTCTGTTAATGCAGAATTAGCATCTTGTTCTGGTTCTCCAGAATTATCATTGAAAGTGTTTGACCGTACACCGATCATGTTTGTATTTTAATGATTATATCAATCCAATATTCAAACAGTAATTCAAAAACAACTTCAAATAAACAAATTGAAACAACCCCAAACAACCAGTAATCTACAAATGAATTGGACAAGTTGTCAAAATCTAACTGTCAAATCTGTTGCTGCCTGACGCTGACAGATAGAAAATTTCATTTCACGCAAATATTTTTGCTCTGGTAGTGGTACCATTCTAAATAGAATAAGCTAAAATATGTAATTTTATAGTTTTATTAATATAATGACGCCGACTAATTTGTTAACAGTAAGGACACTCAAAGTTGTGTCATAGTAATAAAATCTTAGTAAATTACAACTTTTGTTACGGGAACTATTTTTATTTTTGCATATTGCTGAAGGTCTGTTATTACGAATAACAATTCTAGAATTTATTTTTGATACGGTTTATTACGCTTTTTAGAAAAGAAAAAACAAATATATTTTATTTTCTTTAAAGACACTGTAGCGCCTGTACGAATTTAGCGGCAAATATATTGTCAGTCTAATGTGTAAATGCAATGCTGACTCGAAACTAAACTTTAGCGACTTGTGCTCAAAGCCACATCATGGGCTTTTTGCCTGAATGTATGACTAACCTCTTTGTCTAATCTAGATCCAAAACCCTAACATTTGTGATTTATTTTCTTAACTGAGGTGCACGGTCACGGTCTCAGCCTTTATAAAAAATGAAGATGATTTGTTTAAGAAACTGTAATATTTTTCTTATTTCTCATATATCTTTATCCCTTATTTTGTATATATTATGGTTTACATGATTTGTATTAAATAAAACATATATAAAAAATAGATCACCACCGGCTGCGGATTCTGATGACTTAAGCAACTAGTGGTCAGAGCTGCAGAGACAGGAACCTCCTCACAATGCGTGCGGTTTCTAAATTAACTGCCTTTGAATCGGGCTCTTAACCCAACTGTCTAGCGAAAGCTTCTTGAGATGTTGGTCGAAGCTCTTCGCTATCGGCCCGTGTGGGATATGTCGGATAGTAATATCGACTAAGATTACACAACTCTCAGACCGATCTATTATTACTATATCAGGTCTATTGGCAGCAATAGTCCAGTCTGTAACATTATTCTTGTTTATATTATTGTAATAAAAATAAAAATGCATTGAAACAAAAGTAAATTACCATCTAGTAGAGTAGATAGAGTAGATTGTCTAAATAGAAAATACCAAACAACACATTTGGCTGCTGCCAAAATTTGGTTGTTTAATAAGCTGCAGCAACTAGATTTTGAATTAATTGAACGTGCAACTAACAAACAAACGATGCGCTGCGAGCTGCGAGTGACAGCGACATCAAATTACATTAACAAGGTAGTGTCGCGCCGCCCTCAAATTAAAGCCACATAAACTGGCGACGGCGAGCCAGAGCTGTGTTTAGTTGCGACTCCCAGCACCCGACTCCCGGCTCCCGACTCCCGGCACCCTGCTCCCAGCTCACCTCTCAAAGCGCCCTAATTACTGCCACCTGTGAAACTGTACCCGTGTATGCTGCCATTACGGTGTACTGTGTCGCCGCGAAATGGCGCCTTGTCATTTTGACGGATCGCTACACTAATGATACAGCCGAGCTCACTTTGACGACGTTGATTAAGATTTTACCAATAGGTTTGTTTTTGGAAGTAGGACATGACCACTAAAATCCTCTAAATATAAACTAACCTTAGGAGCAAACTTAGACTATGTGTAGTTGTGTGGAAATGTAAAGGAACGTTGAATTGCAAAGATTGTTAATTTGCCAGAGATCGTTTTTAAATTTGTTAACGAATTCAAGTCAGGTATTGCACAAAAACTCATATTAAATTGTTTTTTTTTTCTGGGTGACGTGTTCTTAACTATTACCAGCAAATGTAATCTCTAAAAGAATTGTCCCATGGAATGTTTAAACAATGTGTGCAATCGTAATTCCTTCCGGATAGCAACAAAAGCTTTGTTTTGGTTAACTTTTAAAACTTTGCAAAAAGATAATAACGTGACAAAATACGCAAGTAATCAATACCGGACGTGTCCAGTGTTGGATCTCAGCTTTAACTGCCATTAACCCACATTTCACAATACACTGTTCGTGGAAATGTCCCACTGCTTGGCACTACTATCTTTACGATTACAATATAACTTATTGACCCTTATTGTTAGGCAGGTAAAGAGTAATTTTGAATACGAGGTCGTTCTTAACTGGCAAATGTTAAGTTGCAACCGAACGAGCTACCGAACGCTTTTATTGAATACAAGAGAATTGTTGGTCGGATTTAAGGTTATTATCTGTATTCAATGCTTTTTTTGGACAAAGGATTAGTGGACTAATGAGGATAAGACGCAGAGGAGCTCTGTGAATCAGTCAGGAGGTCCTGCAGCCTGGCTGCCCGGTAGCCCCATAGTCCGCCCGCTTTGTCACGAACCAAACTACTGCGTTTTCGTTGCATGAAGTACATTTATATTTTTATCTCCTCGACAATTGTTATCTGTGCAAGATAACATTGAGAACAAGCTACTTTGTTTTTTTCATGTAAAATTCTTAATACTGAATGCCTTATTATACGTACTTACGGCGATACCAATTGCTTAGTGACATTTAGATTACGGTCACATTTGTGTATTCTCAGGAAAAGAGATTTGATCGATAATGTTCGTCATTATCTTTAAGATCACTGAGTACAAAAACTACTTCTAACATATAGGTTATAATCCATAATTAACTACGTATCTACTGTTTACAATTTACAAGTATGGCGTTTGAGTATCTCATTCTGCACACATGGGTATCCATGCCAGCGTCAAGCGCTGAGCGGGCGAGCGCCGCGCGGTCTGCAAATCTTTACTCTGTACGCCGATGCGCTGGATGTTCGTTACTCTAATTAAATTGATAAAGCAAAGATATAAGTATTCAAGGTTATTAAATATGATTTTATGGGGTGTAATAAAGATCATAATGTTATTGACTGAAACGAATGTGCCTGGCACAACACCGTCTGATCCCATCACTAGGAGCGCATTATCGCAGCCGCGGCCGCGTGTGTGCGCTCACAATGCGCTGACACAATGGCCGCAGCTTCCCGCTCTTTATTTATTTACACTGTATAATACACAGATAATAAATAATGTTATATTTTTTCAAACTTAACCGTTGTCAGAATTAATACCGATCTCTCTTGAGTAGGGTCGCCATGAACAATTGACATTTTTTAGGATAATTTAAATGTTTTTTTTTGTCATGGTTTGTTTTAGGTTGTTTTATTTAATTGGAAACTTGATGACATATGACTTAATAATTTAAACAATTTGAATATTTTTTTTAATACACCTGAATTTGTTGATAAAATGAATTTAAAAACATCATGATAATTTATGTTAATGACCATCTTTTTATCAAAAATAATAAACTATTGTAACATTTTTTAATTCTAAGATTCACTAAAGAGGTGGAGATAGTTGTCGCGAGGTAGGGGACTGGAGTTAGAAGATTAGATCTGTGGACGATCAACAATGTGCCCGCGCGCCCGCGTACTCAGTACAAAATGGCTGCCACGTCATTTGTCAGGCTGCCGGCTATTGTACACAAAGGAGATTAGTTCACGATGTTTTGATTGCACCAGTGGACCGCAAACAATAACTGAAAGGTGTGATGTTTGGGGATAAGAAAGACTCATCGCGGCGGCTATAAAACTTTATAACGTTCTTTAGACACTTCGCCGTAAGGATGCTTATTCGCGTCAGTGGGTTTTGGCGATTGTTTGGCAGTGTGCGATAGAGCAGGAGTTCACGGCTCAACGCGTCGCGAGGATTTGCTGCGACACCACAGATGGTAATCGCGGACACCTTGAGTGCGCGCCGATCGCAGATAGCGCATTATAATGCTCCGGGTGAAAATGTGGGAACAATGTTTTATGTGTATTCAGATAATTGTTTTAATAATGTCTGGAGATCCCTTCAGAGCTTTTAGATAGAATCAGTTTAAAATGTGAAGTAAATGTTATAATGCATTTTGCTTTTAACTTTTTTATGAGTTGTTTTTATGAGAGTTATATTTAAATTTGAGGCACGGTACAATGAGAAACGTTTCATCTCTTTTGTTTTCAATTAGATCCATGGATTTAATTATAAAAATGTGATATACATAGGTCGGTTTAATGATTCGAGAGACGGATGTTGTATACATATTGCGACCATTACTATCGCACCATCACTCGCCGTGCTACGCTGAACATGCTGTATCACACACCACCGCTGGACTGCGGCTTCTGTCAATAAACATACGTATAATTAATCTACTTTCTTAGTAATTAGTACTTTAGCACATGGAACCTGGATTATTGTCAATGTTTACTAAATTATAGATGTACTTCATATCAGGTAGTCACGACTAATTGATATAATTCCCTCTTTGAGACGACAATTGCTCAACGTTCATGTTAAAACATTGGCACTTTCTGTGACATCGTATTGTCGGCCATTTGATCTGTACGACCATGTGTCTATGCGATTGTTAGCCGATGTTGGGCGTCGTAGTAGGTGCTGTTGGCGCTGTGGGTTACGTAATCCGACACTCGGTCTCGACTTGATCAACACACAATGCCTCTGTCTCGTTTAAGCATTGCCAGACATACGATCACTGGAGCTTTTGAATAATCGTCATTTGGAATCTTTTAATAAAAATGGTCAAATCTCTGTAGATTGATGACAATAGTTGAAATTATTGTAAGTAAATAGCATTTCGTTCTAAATTTTTTTTAGAACTTATAAATGAATTAGGTAGATATTGATATTGAGACTCAATCACACTTTTTAGATAAAGGATGTTCCAAATAAGGATTTATGCTTTAACTTAGGCTAATATTGTATTTTTGTGAAATACACCGATTTTTTCTTGCCTGCGATTTTCTATTAGATGTATTTGTTTCTGTCTACATCCCAAGACCTAAATGTGCTCTAACAAGATAAACACACGATTAAGGTACGTCGATCATTTAGCTCACAGTGTTGCTTTGTGATAAGTCAATCATTATCAATATTGTCTAAATGTATGTCAGTAACTTGCTCGAGTACAACTGAAGCTGAGCACATT